TCAGAAAAACTTCCCCTAAAGTCACATATCCCATTTGTCAGGATGTAGTGTGGTGGCCATAGCTAGCTGCAAGAAGGGATGGGAAATAGTCTTTGTTCCAGGTGAGCCTATGCTCAGCCTAAAATTATGAAGATTATGTCTCAAAGAAGGGGAAAATGGGCACCATCACAAAGTGGAAGATGGGTCCAAGCCGATGAGCAGGTTGGAGTCGCTCAGAGCTCAGAAGTGGGCAAGGTTGGAATTGGAGCTGGGAGGGAAGGGGTCTCACTCATCTCTTCTCCTTCCAGGCACTTCTGTGATGCAGGTGACAGCCACGGATGAGGATGATGCCATTAACACCTACAATGGGGTGATTGCTTACTCCATCCATAGCCAAGAGCCAAAGGACCCTCACGACCTCATGTTCACTGTCCACCGAAGCACAGGCACCATCAGTGTCATCTCCAGTGGCCTGGACCGGGAGGTAAGTGGCCCTTAGGGAAAGTGCTGCCTACCTAGGCTTGCCCAGGCTGGGGCCTGACACCTGAAGCCCAAGGCAGAGCAGTGGGGATCTAAGTCAGCTAACAGTGGCTGCTGGTATGTTCCTGGGTTGGTGTCCCTCACCTCCCTTGGGCCGATGGCGTGCGGCCAAACAATCTCATTAAGGCTAAAGAGGCAGCTGTAAAATGCAGACGTTTGATATTTTCTCATTTCCTCTCGGAACGGCTCACTTAGCATGCACATGGCCCAGATTTGTCCCTTGTGGATCACAAAGTAGAATTAGCTCCATGGATATCGGGAGTTGCCTCTTATTTCCTAATTAATACCTTGACCAAATCCCTGCTCCAAGCGCCCATTCTGTATCTGCCCAGGGTCAGTGCACAGGCCGCACATCCAACAGGGCCAGGAATACTGTCTGACCTGCAGTTCCCCTCCCCCTTCACCTTTTGCTTCTGTTCTTTTGGGCAGTTGGGCGAGCCGTGGGTTGAGGAGTCAAGAGAACATTGAGAGAAGAAACATTCCCCGCCTTCCACATTCTCCCAAGGCTGTGCCTCCAGGAGCCCCGGCTGAGAAACCCTCAGAATGAACTCATAGTGGCCTTCCACCCTTCTTTTCTCCCCAGAGAGTCCCTGAGTACACACTGACCATCCAGGCTACGGACATGGATGGGGATGGCTCTGCCACCACGGCAGTGGCCATGGTGGAAATCCTCGATGCCAATGACAATGCTCCCGTGTTTGATCCCCAGAAGGTAATGCCCCTTCCTTCCTCCTTCCCTCATCAGATGATAAAGGACTAATGAAACTCCAGAACCAGCCTACATTGCTTCACTTCCCAGTCCCCCCACTTACTAATTATGTGACCTTACGCAAACTACCTAACCTCTCTGTGCCCCATTTCCTAATCTGGGATAATGGGGATAATGATAATACCCGCTGCATTATTCTGAGTTTAAAATGAAGTAATCTGTGTAACACAATCTCCAGTACATAACAATTGCTCGATACGAAAATCTTCGATGATAAGAAAACGCATTTGCCTTGCACCTATGCCTCCCGTCCTTCCCACATTGGGTGCGTGTACACCTCCAGTGACAGAGGACTCAGTGCCAGTCAAGAAGACACTTACCCTCCTATCTTTAGGCAACTCTGACTGCTGAACATTGTTTAGGCCCGATGAAAATTTGTTCTGAGTGGCTGATTTCCCAGTCTGTGCTCTCTGTTCCAGAACTTCTAATAAAGTTTCTGGTCAGTGCCCCAGAGCAATCAGGCACCTTTCCCATCTTGCCACCTTCTTTACACCTTTCTGATCTCAACTAGATCTGTGGCTATACATGGCAGGGGTTTGGGCACCCTAGACCAGCGAGATACCTGGAGCATTACGCCACTAGATGTAGGAAGGCAGGCCCAAGATGGCTGTGGTCTGTCCTAGCAGCTGGGAGGCTGACTCTGCTGTTCTGCATCTGTGTGTGCCTGAAACCCTGATAATTGAGTTAGACAGTTTCAGACAGTGTAGGAGGCATAAGGCTTTTCTAGAGTTGGATGGAGGATTCACAGCCGGTGAAGAGTGAAGTAGTCTCGCGGGGTGGTCAGTCTCTCTGCTCTGACTATGCTGTCCTTCCCACGCTGACAGTACGAGGCCCGTGTGCCTGAGAATGCGGTGGGCCACGAGGTACAGAGGCTGACAGTGACTGATCTGGATGCTCCCAACTCACCGGCATGGCACGCTACCTACCGCATCTTGGAGGGTGATGACGGGGGCCATTTCACCATTACCACCCACCCTGAGAGCAACCAGGGTGTCCTGACAACCAAGAAGGTGAGTCAGTTTGGGCTTTAGATGAGGGCCACTTCGGGAATAGTCAGGTCTACAGCCTTCAGCGCAAGGAGGTACCACCCGCCTTGGGACACATACCTTGGGCCATTTACCAGAGAGTGCACCAGGCCAGTGGCTTCCAGCACTTTCCCGTCCCTCTTGTGTTGTGGAATTCCTTTGTTCAAACTAAATCTCACCCAGGGATCCGATTCATAAAACAGGTAAGAGCCACTGATCTAAACGAAGCGGGTCAGTGGAGCCCCGCCTCCCAGATCTCAGTGTCCAGTGGCTGCCCCCGATCAGTCTTTTCACAAAGAGGGTCTCTGTTTTATTAGGTTTCTTGCTAATTTTGCATTTAATCCATATCTAGGTGTTCGGATAGTAAAATTACTTAGGAGTTAGCCATACCCTTGCCTTTCAAAAAGTCCTTGACTAAAATCGATGCTTCAGAAAGATGAGACTAACCTTTCTTTTGATTTATTTTGCTTCCTGGTTTATTACGAAGAATGGCCCAGTTTGAGGAGCAGTGTTTTATATAATACTTTAAAGACTATCCTCTTTTTGAAACAGAAACTTTGTAATGCCCCTTTTACATCGTGATATTAATTTCATTTATAATTTAACTTACCTGTCTAGAAAAATAGAATTCTCTAACTAAAATAAGAGAGAATTTTACTGGAAAAGTTATTAAAAAAAATTATATGTAAATTTTGGGGCATCTAACACTAGAGAACCTAATGAAGTGATCAGTTACTTGCACATCTTTGTGGAATCATCTGAATGTAGTGGATACTATTTGTCACTCTGGCGACTCTTACCACACGTGGTATTGAAGTTTTTCCAGAACAGCAAATAAACAAGTCTTGGGAAGGGCCCGAACAAATCACATTACAAGCTCCCCTTAGAAGTTCCATTCCTAGAAAATTTAGTAGATATTAAAATCACACCGAAAACTTGTTTTTTATGTAAAACATGTTCTAGACCAGCAGTCCCCAACTTTTTTGGCATCAGGTACCGGTCCTCCTATGAGAATCTAATGCCTGATGATCTGAGGTGGAGCTGAGGCGGTGATGCTAGCGCTGGGGAGCGGCTGCAAAAGCAAATACCGATGAAGCTTCGCTCACTCACCCACTGCTCACCTCCTGCTGTGCATCCTGATCCTAATAGACCATGGACTGGTACTAGTCTGCGGCCTGGGGATTGGGAACCCCTGTTCTAGACTATAAATATAAGCAGATATTTCACACCCATGAGGACATGAATATCTCAGGGCATATTGGCAAGTCACATGGGATACAGGACAGTTCTTTGTGTCCCTTTCCCAACCTGTAAATGTCAGTGGTATCCTCAATCATTATGACAACTAGAAATGCCTCCAGTTTTTACAACACCCCCAGGGGGCATCACCATTCCACTGGGAACCAGTTCTAGGGCTTACTAGTTTAGTTGCCTTTGGTGGGGGGCGTGGTCTGAGTGGTCCCACTGAGTGTCCACTCAGGAAACACAGGAGGCTTTATGGGCCAGGAAGGGGCAGCATTGTTGCTAGTGGGAAACTTGAACCCTCCTCACTGTAGGCCCTTCCTTCTGATGTCACAGCACTGCGTGGGGCCTCCTCACAAAATGGTGGCTCCTTTTTCCTCTTCTAGGGCTTGGATTTTGAAGCCAAAAACCAGCACACCCTGTATGTTGAAGTGACCAATGAGGCTCCCTTAATGGTGAAGCTTCCAACGTCCACGGCCACCGTAGTGGTCCGTGTAGAAGATGTGAATGAGGCACCTGTGTTCATCCCACCCTCCAAAGTCATCGAAGTCCAGGAGGGCATCTCTGTCGGGGAGCCTGTCTGCACCTACACTGCACAGGACCCTGACAAGGGGAGTCAGAAGATCAGGTACACAGCAGCTGAGCTCAGATCCAGCCAAATGCACCAGTACTGTTGGACGGGTTGTTTGTTATGTATGGCTCGTATTTGTTCTAATTATAAAGATTGTTAAATATATTGAACATTCCCCCACACAAGGTCGCCCCTTCCCTACCCTCCCCAAGACCGAAGACTCTGAGCAGGGATTCGGGGGCAGGTACTTCCACTCCCTCTCACCTCTCCCTGCTGGCTCCCCACCTGCTGCTCAGGTTCCTATTTAGGGGTAAGATGTGTTTTCCACATGATCCAGCTTAGGAGCCCCTAGTCCCATGACACCGTCTGCCAGTTGGTATAAGGAGGCTCTGAATGACAACAACAGAATTCTAAGTATTCTGGGTATGACTCCTCAACTTTTCTGCTGTAGCTACCACATCCTGAGAGACCCAGCCGGGTGGCTAGCGATGGATGCAGACAGTGGGCAGGTCACTGCTGCAGGGATTTTGGACCGTGAGGATGAGCGGTTTGTGAGGAACAACATCTACGAAGTCACAGTCTTGGCCGCGGATGATGGTGAGCTTCCTCCTAGCCTCTCCACGTGGGGCCCTTAAGTTCCCAAGTCACATAACACAGCATGTCCCCTCCACGGGCAGAGTATGATATATGCGTGGGGTGGGGGTGAGTTGGGGGTGTTGGCAAACCAATCTAGAGGGTTGTTAGGGGCCTTTTAGGGGAAGATTATAAATTCTGGTCCTGGGGTGGCTGGCCATGATTCCAGTTTCTCTAAAACCCAGGAGTCAGGAGATACCTTGAAGCCTTCTTTAAGCCTGTCTGTGGTTCAGTGAGCCCTGAATTGGCCTGTCAGTTTCCCCGCGGTTGAGAGGGGCTGCTTATAAAGCACCATGCTTGGTTAGTGGTGTCACACCATGGCAGGACTGGGAGTTATGCGCTTGCCATCTCTGCTTGACACGAAGTGAACGAAGGCCTGGAGGCAGGTGAGAGGTGACCACAGGGCTGTGAAAGAAAGCTGCCCTGAAGCTGATTGGCAAACGCTGCATTAGCCCTGAGGTGGCCAGTAGGTTTTGCCTTGTGGTAGATTGTTAGTGGCTGTCTGGATGAAGTGGCACAACTACGTCCTGACCAGTTAGTTATGTCTGCTATGGACAAAAAATGAGAATGCTAGCGTGATTGCCATGTGTTTGCTATCAGTGGTTTGATCTATAGTGAAGCTAGGGCATGGAGAGTCTTGAGAGGTTATAGCTGGGCGGTCCCTGAGGCTGATGGGATAGGACATAGGGGAGCTTAACATTGATTAATCAATCCAACCAAGGCAGATGCTGAAAAAAGGTCATATGTATAATTATGAACAGGGAGCCCTCCCACCACTGGCACGGGGACCCTCCTGCTAACACTTAAGGACGTCAACGACCATGGCCCGGTCCCCGAGCCCCGTCAGATCACCGTCTGCAACCAAAGCCCTGTGCCCCAAGTGCTGAACATCACAGACAAGGACCTGTCCCCCCACACCTCCCCTTTCCAGGCCCAGCTCACACACGACTCAGACATCTACTGGACGGCAGAGGTCAATGAGCAAGGTAACGAATGGTGTGGCAGGTGGGTGCTTGCCCCATACCAGGACCCTGCACGCATGCCCAGCTCAGGATCTTGTGGGTCACAGAGGTAATGGTCTCCTCAAAAACATTAATCAAATGCTAATTATTAATCAAGCATAAGCCTTTAGAATTCCACAGGAGCCCTTAAAGACCATTTCTAGCCCAGCTGCCTTCTTGTACAGATGGAAAAACAGGCCGGGAGAGAGAGAGAGAGAGGGAGAGAGAGAGAGAGAGACTGACTCCATTTCACATAACGAGGACTCCAGCACAGTGATAATAGCTGACATGCACTGAGCATGCTTACTCTGTGCTAGATAGACACCACTTCAGATGCTTTATGTGGGTTAGATTTCTTAATCCTCACAACAGTCCTATGAAGAAGGTACTGTTATCACATATACATATGTGCACTCCCATTTTACAGATGAGGAGATCAAAGCTTGCAAAGTATAAATACCTTGCCAGAGGTTCTATGGCTAGAAGATCATGGCACCAGGATTGAAATCCAGGCAGTCTGATTTGCTATGATGCTCTGCTGCCTACCCTTTATTGAATCCTGGTGATTTGCAAGATGCTTTTCTCCCCCTTATTTAATCTTTTTAGCACCCTCTGTGGTCAGTATTGTTTATCCCTGTTTATGAGAGTGAGGCCGGGAGAGGTTAAATCGCGTGCCTGAGGGTATAGTGAGTAAGCGGTGGCGGTGGCGGGTGAAGCCAAAGCACCTGGGCCCCCGCCCCTGCTCCCATCTGCCTCTGTCCTTTCTCTTTCCGATCCCTCTGGAGCTCCTCAGCCTTCAGTGGTTTTTCGGTTGTCACAGACCTGGAAGGAGTGTCATGAACTAGGGTGCATGAGAAAGGTGGATCTGGCCCCAAGTGCCAACAAGATCTCTAGAGAAACACTGCATCGCTCTACTTTAAAATGCTCCCCTCTTCCTCTTGTGACGAGGGTCCCCCAGGAGAGAACTGGGGAACCAGTACGTTTAGGTTCTGTCCCCAAAAAACTAAATGCCCAGCATCCATTAGTGCCACTGAGCCCACCCAGGAAGGACTTCCCGACCCGCTTCAGACACCTACATTGGCTCAGTTTTATGATTCCTGTGATTTGGGTGTATATATCCAGCACCTTTCCTTTGGGGAGCCCACATTGGTCTCCTGTCACCCCCTTGTGGCCTAGAAGTCATTTTTTCCCTCCCTGACCATGTGGTGTATAGAGTATGGACTCTGGAGTCAGAATGCCTTGGTTCAAGACCTGACTCCTTCATTTACTATCTTTGTGATTGTGGGCAAGTTACTGAGCCTCACTGTCCCTCAGTTTCCTTATCTGTAGAATGGTGCCAATAGTTGTACCTACTTCCACAGTTACTATGAAGATTAACGTGAAAAGCATCTTATCTGCTATGTCAGTTCAGTAGATGCAAGCGGCCGTCTTTACCACCGCTGTTTCCCAGCAACGTTCAGATCTGGCTCTGTCAGGTGTGAGCAGCATGGCGAAAGCCCAATGGCACCAGCACCTGATAATAGTATTGATACCCGGTTCTTGGTTTTAATTTAGTTTTTTGACACGACCTTGTCCCTGTTGTCAGGAGAATTAATCGAAACTGTACCCCATGTGACCTCGGTCTGGTTACTTGACCTTCTTAAGCTTCAGTTTCTGAAAAATTCAGTATTTGAAAAATTAAGAAAACAGTACCTGCCCTTTCAAGTTGTAGTGAGAATTAGAGCAGGGCTTGGAATATACTAAGTGTCAGTCTAGTTAGTCACCACTGCCACCAGCGCCACCACCACCATCATCATCAGCTGAAAAATCAGCCCTCCAGTGTGAGAACAAGATGATGATAGGGATGTTTTGGTGAAATATCCCACATCAGCGTCTCCACACAGTAGACCAAACATTCAGCCTATAGAACTCTGCCCACTGGTGCCGAATGGGAACAGCGAGTTCTCCCTTCTGGCCTTTTTGCTGAGAGGGGCCCAGTGGGGTGCAGAACCTTTGAACTGAAAATGGCTTGATGCTGAAAAAGACAACAAGCCTGAGGGTGGATGAGCTAGAAATGGGGGGGTAGTTTCGATGGCCCCAGTGATTGAGGAACACCACTGACATTTAGTAGTGAGGATCTGTAATACTTGGGGAAGTCTTGCATGATGAAAATAGTTCCACCCAAGCTAATAGCTTCCTCCTTGAGAAACTTGGGTCTAAACTGAAGGCCTTTCTTCAAAGAGGCCCCTGACCCTATATTCCTCACCCGGAAACATAGTTTTACTCCCCACTCTAGGATTGCCACGCAGTCTCCCCAGAATGGTACTTATTGTTCAGGTCACACTGAGGCTTGGTTTCTGTTTAGTTAACCTGTCACTCACCCTGGGCTTCTGAAGGCAAGTTATCCCAATGCCCATATCAGCCTCATTTCCAGCATCCTTGATACTTACTATTGCAAGAGCAAAATGCTGCAATAGTAAATGGTAACGAACATCCAAATAGGAAAACAAATGGCCAATTAATGTGAACATTAAAATATTGGGTTAGATATTCCTTAGGAGGAATAATATTATTTTCAAGGCAAAGAACAATCTAGCAGCTAATGGTGCTAAGAAATTATTAACCTTGCACGACATAATTTTTTTTTGTAAAACTTCATATTTTAAAACTGCTGTGATTATTGATTTAAAAAAAATAAGATGACGAGTTTATTTTTCTACCCCAATCATCTTTTTGACGATGGTGAATTTGACTTTGGCCAAATACCAGTTTTTAACACTTGATATAAATGCGCTTTTGGGATATTTCTCCCTGTCACCCAGATGTAGAAGCTGTCCCCTCAAACCTCCATCATGATAGGCTCAGTTCTCACTATTTGTGGTCCCCTAAGGTGAATAAATTATTTGTCCACTCCAGGAGACACAGTGGCCTTGTCACTGAAGAAGTTCCTGAAGCAAGACACATATGACGTGCACCTTTCTCTGTCCGACCATGGCAACAAGGAACAGCTGACGGTGATCAAGGCCTCTGTGTGTGACTGCCATGGCCATGTGGTGACCTGCCCCAAACCTTGGAAAGGGGGTTTCCTCCTCCCCATCTTGGGGGCCATCCTGGCTCTGCTGCGTGAGTACTGGCACCCTGCCCTCTCTAAGGATGGGTTAGTTAGAAGACCTGATTTCACCCTCAACTTATGAGACTAACGGGCCACTATCATTGCCCGTCTGTTTTTTAAGTTCTTAATTCCAGGAGTGTCATTTAGTTAATTGGTATTTATGGAGCTTCTGGAATGTGCCAGGCTTTGGGGATAGAGTGGTGAGCAAATAGACTTGGTCCTGCCAGTCTGTCATCTAGAGGCTAGAGAGCAGTGATTTTGAAAGTATTGTCCAGACCAAAAGCAGTAGTATTACCAGGAATTCTTTAGAAGGATCAATTCTCAGACCTCACTCCAGACCTCCTGATTCAGACACTTGGGGGGAAGACCCAGTAATCTGGGTTTTTACAGTGCTCCAGAGGGTCCTGATGTATGCTAGAATTTGCATCCCTGGGTTAGTGGTTAGGAGTGTTTAGTTAAAAAACTTCTTTGCTCTAAAAGTTGAACCTATCACATTTGCTTTTTCCACTCTTTAAATTAGGCCTTATGCAGAAAACACACCTTCAATCAGCTATTTAATTAATCAGCTTGCTGTGCACCCATCACTCTCTTAGACCCTAGGGGTGCGGCACTTAACAAAGCAGACCAATGCCTGCCCTCACAGAGCTTGCTTTCTAGTGCAGGAAGCAGACACCAAGAAATCTGGCAGAGAAATATGTGCTGATATGGGGAAAAAGAAAGTGGATAGGAGGAGGTCTACAATTTTAAATAGCGTGGGCAGGAGAGGTCTTAATGAGAAGGGAATATGCAAGCAAAGACCTGAAAGAGGTGAGGAACCAAGTCAGCAGATATCCAGGGAACAAGCGCAGAGGCCCCAAGGCAGCACAGCTCGGTGTGTGGAAACAGGAATGACTGGAGTACCAAAAGCAAGAGGGAGAAGAGTAGGGGATGGGGTCAGAGAGGCGATGGGTGTAGTGGAGCATCGTGTGGGCCTTTAGGCTCTTGTAAGGGGTCCAGGTGAAATGAGAAGTCATCAGAAAAGGCCTGAAGCAGAGGAGTGATATGATTTGACTCGAATTATAAAGGATTCCTCCCGAATAGTACAATAGTACTGAACAGACAAGAATGGAGGCAGGGAGACCATTGAGGAGCTATTGCGTAATCTGCAGGGCGGCGGGGAGGGATTGATGGCTCAGACCAGGATGGCAGTTGATGTGGTGAGAGGTGGTCATATGTCATATTTCAGGGTAGAGTCAGTTCATCCATATCACTTGATATGTGGTATATGGAAAAGAGCCACTGACGAGTGTGAGGCCTGAACGAGTAGACACATGGAGTTTCCATTAACTAGTTTGTGGAGAACCATGGGAGGAGTTTTGCCAGGCCAGTTCAACTGGAGATATCAGTAGGCAGTTAGACACGTAAGCTTTGGGTGCAGACGAGCAGTCCAGTTCACCTTCTGCCTTTCCCCAGACCCAGTGGATAGGAAAAGAAAGGGAAAGGTCACAGTCTAGCTGACATGAGGTGCACATCCTGAGAACCCATGGACTCCCAAGGAAGGCTAGACCTGTTTTGTCTGGCCAAAGAGAGACAGCAGTTCCATCAGCAGGTGAAAAAAGCGAACAGCCACAGAGAGCGAGCCAGGGAGTACCCTCTTCCTATGGGATTAACAGCGGGTAGTCATGGCTGTTAGGGAGAGCAGCCAGGCATTAGTTGGCCAGTCTCCCCCATGTCTAAACCATATCACTAAAAGCCAGTCCCTCTTAAAATTCCAACATAACACTTGCACCTAAGTTCAAATTAACACACCGTATCAAAGTTGCGCTGTCTTGCATTTAACTTAAAGTGGATAATTTAGGGGACACCTGGGGACAGAAAAAGAGTCCTATTGAAAAGTAACATCTGCTGCAAGAGTTCCATCCCCACAAAGAAGGCTTTTTCTCAGGACCAGTACCCATCAACACAGCAAGACTGACAAATGATAATAGAACTGTAGTCGGGGAATGAAGTCAGAGGAGTGTTACAAGGTGACCTTCAGCCGAGACCTGAAGGCTGAGAGCCATGTACCTGCCTGCAGAGTGTTCCAGTTGAGGAAAGAGCCCAGAGGAAGGTTCTCAAGTGGGAAACTGCTTGAGGAACTCCGAGGAGGCCACTGTGACTAGACCTGGGTGGGGGAGGGAAGTGAGGATTGCCGAAGGGCCGGGCCAAACCCTGTGAGTCGTGATAAGGAGTTGCAGGTTTGTTTCCTAGGTGCACAGGAGCCATTGAAGTGTGTTAAACTCTGGCTACTGAGTGGAGGGATCTAAAATTAGAGGGGCTTTGAGAGTTTGGGGGTCTGGGCCAACTGTGTGGTTGTGGGAGTGAATATTCACACTCCCCAACTCTTCTAGTCCTCCTGCTGGTGCTCCTCTTATTGGTGAGAAAGAAGCGGAAGGTCAAGGAGCCCTTGTTGCTCCCGGAAGATGACACCCGTGACAACGTCTTCTACTATGGCGAAGAGGGGGGTGGTGAAGAGGACCAGGTAGGGTGTTGGGCCTTGGGAAGTCTGAGGGTTGGGAGGTGGATGCCCCCAGGGCACTGATAGGGATGATTGGATCAATCAACTAACCATGTTAGCTGTGTTGACCAGACCCTGGCCTGAAGCGTCAGGCTTCATGCAGGATCGACCATCAACTCTCCTCTTCTGAGAGGGTGTCTGGTTCATTGCCTTAGTCTCAAGGTGACCTTGAGCCTGAACTTAATTTGGGAGACAGGGGTGTGGAAACTAGGGCTTTCAGAAATCTCTGACATTATCTATCTTCTAAGACCTACCCATGAGCCAAAACATCCAAACAGTGGGGAGTAGAGAGTCCTCCTCAATCATGCTCCTTTACTTTCATGAAGGACTATGACATCACCCAGCTCCACCGGGGTCTAGAGGCCCGGCCTGAGGTAGTTCTTCGAAATGATGTGGCGCCAACCTTCATCCCCACACCCATGTACCGTCCACGTCCAGCCAACCCAGATGAAATTGGCAACTTCATTATTGAGGTGAGGCACGGGGGGCCAGTCCAGGGCAGCCATGTATTCAAGCACGAGCGGCACAGGAGAAAGAGCCTGGCCTCAGAGTCTTAGCTCTGGGTTCAAATCCTGCCTATGTCACCAGCCAACTGTGTGACCTCTGGCACATTTGAATAACTTCTGGGCTTCTGTTTCTTCCTTCATAAAATCCTAACTTGGAGAATGGTAAAGAATAGATTAGGAATAATTCATTCAACAAACATAGTGGCTGTTAGAAAAACACTCTGGAGCCAGACAACCTGGATTTGAAGTTTTTAAAGATCCCTGGTGAGTCTAATGGGAGGAAAGTTTGGGACTTCTGTTATAGGCTAGCCCCTGGAATAGAGCTAGCACAGTGGTTCCCAAACCACCTGCACATTAGAACCTCCTGGGGGACTTCAGAAACTCGTGATGCTTCTGACTTACCCCCGAGGTTGTGATTTAATTCTGGGCTTCAGAATTTTTTAAAGATAATTTAATTTTGGGAACCGCTGGCCGGACACGTAGCACTTCTTAGGTAACAAGAGCTATTGTTGCTAATAGCTAGTGTCTCCAGTGTCCTTAACTCCAGTCACACATTGGATTTATCTGAGGACTTTTGAGAAATCTCAATGCCTGGGACCCTGGCATCTGTTTTTTCAGACTCTGATATTTTTAGCTCCCCAAAGAAAGCAAATATACAGCCAAGGTTGTAAGAATCACTGAGCTAGATACATAGGGGATAGATGAGATGAGCCTGGTACCTCGCCAGCAGTCAGTAAATGGAAGTTTTAATAGGGAGAGAGATTGGTTGGATGGACAGACGGACGGACTGGGGAGTTCAAAGAAGCAGCAGTAGACAGAGGGCTCAGTGGGTGATCAGGACACTTCACCCTGGTCTGAACTCTTCTGTCTCAGTCTTTTCTTCTGCAAAAAAGGAAACTAAACTTTTTGCCTTCTAGAAGTAGCCTGAGCATGTTTGAGAGTCCTGCGCAAAAACAAAACCATCTGGGGAAAGTTGCTCGGGGCAATGTGTTTGAGAAGACACCTCGAGTTAAATACCTGGAGCTTTTCCCTCCAATTAGATGAAGTCTGTTTCTAAAATGTCTGTCTGTCGGACAGCTTGCAGATACTCTCTCATTTAACCCCTACATCAGTTCTGCAGGGTAAGAACCCTATTGTTATCCTGATCTTACAAATGAGGAAATAGTGTTCCATTGTATGCCAGGTACAAGTCTAATAAGGGCTTTACATGTATTTACATATATTCATCTATTCCTCTAAAACTAAATGAAGTCTCCCTATTTCTCAGAAAAGAAAAAAGCAGCATAGAGAGGTTAAGGGACTTGCCCAAGATCCCATACTAGTGTGCAAAGTCTGAGTTCTGACTTAGGCCATCTGATTTCGCAGTCCCTACCCTTCACCACTGGCCTGTCGCACTGAGCACTTGCTGTATGCTGGGCCCTGTGCGAAGTATTTAAATGCATTGTTTCACTTCAACTTTCAAAACCTTGAGGGAGGGGCAAAGAGGCTTTGCAGAGGAGGAAATGTCGGCTCAACCAGGTGAACCAACTCACCTGAGTTCTTGCAGCCGCCAAGTGTCTGACCCCGCTGCTCCTAACCACCTGCTCTCTGTCGCCACAGAACTTGAAGGCAGCTAACACGGACCCCACAGCCCCGCCCTATGACTCCCTGTTGGTGTTCGACTATGAGGGCAGCGGCTCTGATGCCGCCTCCCTGAGCTCCCTCACCTCCTCCGCCTCTGACCAGGACCAAGACTATGACTACCTGAATGAGTGGGGCAGCCGCTTCAAGAAGCTGGCAGACATGTATGGTGGTGGCCAGGACGACTAGCCCTCTGGGCCAGCAGAGCCAGGGCATAAACATCAGGCCGCAGCTGCACCTTCAAGGGGTCTCAGTCCTCCCTCAGCCAAGGACTTTGGAGCTGTTGAGAAGTGGTCTTAGTGACCTGAAGGGAAGAAGCCTCAAGTCTGACATTAGAGGGAGGGACATGGGCAGTCTGACTACTCAGCCTGGGCCTGGGGTGCCTCGGAGGCTGAATTTCCAGGACACTCTTCTCTACCATAAAATGCTCAGCCCTGTGTCCTGGGCTTGGACTGACTCTGACTTCCCCATGATAATGTTCTGTCCGGAATGGACCCTTCTCAGAAGAGGCCTCTTATTGCAACCTGGATTTTTTTTTTTTTTTTTTTTAATGCTGTTTTCAAAAAAGTTAGAGGCGGGTCCTCAACTGTCCCTTGGAGCCCTCCAGAAGCCCAGGCCCTCCGAGCTGCTCGGCTCCTGTGCCCTCGTGCATTCCTCTCTGATCTCCAGGCCCCGAGCCCTCCTCTTTGAATGGATTACTGCGTTTTTATACTGAGCGCGTCTAGGTTGTCCTTTATTTTTTATTTTCCCTGTGGAGTGCTGTAGATGAAGGGTGATGACAATCATGTAAATGTACTAGAAGTTTTTATTAAAGGAATTTTTGCCAGAGATGCCAGGGGAGTCAACTCTTTTTTTAAGTAATTTTATTGATGTATCATTCACATACCATTCACCTACTTAAGTGTAAAATTCAATGGTTTTTAGAATTTTCAGAGTTGTGTAAAGGGAGTGAGTACGCCGGCCTCACCACAGCTTCCTCCTCGTGCTAGAGGAAGCTCAGGATTCCTTTGCAGGCCCAAGTAGGGGCAAACCTGCTTTCCTTCTTACATATTCAGAGTTGCTCTTCTGTGTGAGAGAACCAAACCACCTCCTTACCCCAGAGCTGGGCCCCACCAGAGCTGCAGGCGACGTCTTTTCTGGACTGGTGGCTGCTCTCCCATGGGGCACACAAAGATTTCCTGCCCTGTGTTGAAAAGGTAGGAGTTGGGGAGGGTCCAGCTCTGCTACTTCCTAGCAAGTCACCTAACCTCTACCTGCCTCAGATTTGTGATGCACAAAATAGGGAGTTCTTATGGAGATTCAAGTGAATTAACATCTGGCACACGGTAAAGGCTATTTATGTTCACTGGTGACGGCTACCATTTATTCAGTACTTTTTAGACCTGGACAGCACTTAACTTCATTTATTTCCTTTAAACTAATTCTCACAATCACCGTCTGAAGGGACTTCCCTCCTTTAAGGAATGGCCTTATTGTACTTTTAAAAATGACACCTGATCATCATCAGAATCAAGCCAGACAGAAAAATTAGAGAACACACCAAGATATCAGTGAAACTGACACACTCCTGACAAGACCCGGGCATAGATGCAGGAATAAGGCTGAGGAGACAGCCAGGATAGAACAATTCCATGTGTGCCTTCGCTGATGAGAAATTTAAATTTTTTCTTTGCAATGAACCAAAAGAGAAGAATCTGAAGTGAAGCTGAAAAAGTATGGCCAAAGTTGAAAAAAAATGTTTCCTTCCCACAAGAACGGCTCATTCTGTAAAGCAATGGTCCTCAATGTGCAGTCCCTGGGCCAGCAGCATTAGCCTCACCTACGGAATCAAGCTCTGTAAGCAGAGCCCTACAGTGTGTTTTCACAAGACTTCCAAGTAATTCTTACGAACATGCAAGGTTAAGACCAAGGCTCTGAAGAGTGAGGCTGAAGGTGTCCTGAAGCCTCAGACCTTGGATGGGGAAGTTAGGAACAAACTAAGTTGGGTAAGAAACCTCAGCTGTCCTTGGTCTGTAGAACCTTAGCCCACAGTCAGGGCCACCTCCTACCTCTCCCAAGCTGCAGCCTCTGACTCCTATGGCCTCAGATTCTCCTCTACCAGGGCTGCAAGGCTCTGAAGAATGAGGCTGAAGGTGTCCTGAAGCCTCAGACCTTGGATGGGGAAGTTAGGAACAAACTAAGTTGGGTAAGAAACCTCAGCTGTCCTTGGTCTGTAGAACCTTAGCCCACAGTCAGGGCCACCTCCTACCTCTCCCAAGCTGCAGCCTCTGACTCCTATGGCCTCAGATTCTCCTCTACCAGGGCCCTGCTGCTTTTGCTGATAAGGTTGTAGGAGAGGATCAGGTATCTCAGCCAGCAAACACCTGCTGCCCCTTATCTTAAACTCCTCTGTGAGAATCCTGAATAAAGCCTGAAACCTTATCTTCAGTGGAGACTAATAATAAAACCAAACAGCCACTGTTCAAGCTCTCCTTCCTCCCCTGAGATTTTCAGAGGGAGTGGAGGAGGAAAAATGGCCTTTCCTAGCCAAGCCTGGTGTCTCTGGATGGATCTAAATTCCCCTGGTGATGGAACAAGTTGCCAGCCTCTGAGTGACTTGGAAAGACTGAGCCTAGCTTCTGTGATGGAGGTGGATGTGATGTTACTCTCACTCTGGCCCTGTTTCTCATCTGCAGAATAGGATCTTAGGACTGGTTTTTAGGACCTATAATGCGAAATAAGTCACCAGTACTAACCATGCAGAGTAGGTGCCAACTGTAAACAACCAGTACAGCTAGCCATACCAATGGGGAGGGACCACCTGAACGTTTGACTTCCCATGACCTGAATGTTAATCCTTTATGTTTTGTGGTCCAGCAGTTGGATGTGCATCCTTCCAATCTTTTTTCTCTCTGTGTATTACAAACACATTTTGCATTATATCTTCTCATAACAGGACATGCCTTAATTGTATCCAACACATCCAGTTTGGATGTGTTAGAATTTATTTAATTTCACTGCCATCCATGGACCTTAGTGATTCATTTTTTTTTTTTTTTCCTCAGCAGTATTAAACTCCCTGGAGCATTCATCTCTGCAGATGCTTCAAAGCCAATCTTCCAATAACTGGGAGTGAGGGTGGGGGCTGGTTCTGGAGTGGAGAGTTCAGTCCAGGATGACGGGTTGTTGCTAAAAGGACTCCTCGGAATCGTTCTATTAAGTGCTTTTCCCTGCAGACTTGAAAAGCTGAAGTCTCAGAAACAAAGTCCAACAAAAAGATTAAAGTGAAACTTTGTTGGAAGAAGGGTTTGGGGTGACCAGAGACCTGCCTCTTGGCCTCATCCATCCAATGTTTCACCTTAAGAACCCTCCAATACAGAGCATTTTGAAATTTGCCCCCAATTCACCCCTGTCATTTTTCAGATGGAAAGAGAGGTTCTAAAAGCAGAAGATCCCTTTAGCAGGACAGAGATGGGCGGAGCCCAGGCCTCACTTCACACCTTGCCTTTTTGCTTGTGGCCGACCTGACAGTCTTTTTTGTTTCCTCCCAAAGTTGCTGCAGATAAGACCCGTCTCCCAAGGTGGGCTTTGCCCAGACTCTTGAGGGGCCTGAAGGGGATGGCTCTCATCACTGGAAGGTAGGCAAGTAGCTGATTCCTCAATTTTCTGGCTTCCTATGCTAGGTATGGACCTTCCTTAACCATTTTCAGAGTTGTGCAAAGAGAGTGAGTGCATTTAACCTTGGGTCCCCCACAGAGATGCACAAAGAAGTCATAAGCAGGGAAATGTAGAGGGTTGGCCAGTCGGAGAAGGGCCCTAGGGTCAGCCAGTGGGCCTGCCATTGAAAGGGTGGGGATGGTTACCCTGGGAAGCTCTTCTGGCTGCCTACACCCTATATGTCCACTTCCAGACCCACTGGGGGAACTCCATGGGTCCAACTCCCTTTTGGCTAAAGGCAAAACCTACCTCTCACTAAATCCACCAAGGAGGCATGGTTCAGGACACAGGTTCAAATCCCAGCACTTCAGGCACTTCAGGCATTACGCGTTTGACAGATCACTTTCTGTGCCTCACTTTTCTCATCTGGAAAGTGGAGGAGTAGATGAGTTAATATATGTAAAGTGCTTAGGAGGGTGCCTGGCATACCAGTGCTACCAAGTGTTGTAATTGTCACTGCTATTGTGGTTGTCGAGGGACTGACAGGGCCAGTTATTGCTCCTTTATCTCCACATTCATACCTTGGGTGGATGCTGCTCTTCCCAACCTAAACTAGACATTCCTAGACTTTAGGAAGTGACTTCTGTGGTCAGGGTGGCTGTGGCTTCCTTGATGGCCCTTGCCCTTGTGCCCAGCAGGGGGCACCATTCACTTGAATCTCAACAAGGCTGGTGCGCCTCCCTACCTGGCAACCTAGGGCAAGGTATGCAGGAAGGGAAGGAGCCCTAGGGCGAAATAGTCGCAATGGCTGTCACTTACCACATATGGGAGTATGCTGTGTGCCAGGAACTGTCTTGGACACTTTGATGAAGGTGATGATGATGGTGGTGGCGGCAGTGGCAACAGCAATTACTGTTCATGCCCTTCACGTGCATGGAGTCAGGTACAAGCATTCTCCCACTCTCAACCATGGAAAGAGAGGTTTTATGGTTCCCTTTTTTAATGGAAATTGAGGGAGAGAGAGAATAATGACCATACATAGCCAGGAAGTGACAGAGACAGTATTGGGGTCCAAGTCTCCTTGATTCCCAAATATGAGCTCTTTTTACTATAAAGAATGAGAAACTCCAGCTATGATACGGGCCTGGCGGCAGGAAGGCAGGCAGTGGAAGAAGCACTTAAGGTATGGCATACCCACCCCCTCCAAGACAGATTCGGCCTCACCTGATCCTGAAACTCTGAGGTCCTGACGCAGAAAAGCCATAGTATTTCCAACCACTTCCGGGGGCCCCTTGAGTATGTGGGGCATCACCTCTGGGCCTTTTTATTAATTCATTTAACAACTATTTACTGAGCCCATGTTCAGTGTCAGGTAGCATTCTGGATGCTAGGCATATAGAGATGCAGAAAACTTAAAAATTCCAGTCCTAACACATGGGGGGGCTCTGGGCAAAAAATTTGTGTTGTGCTAACATACCATATGAGCTGAGATGGTAAACAGTTAAAGATATTCTACCTTCCTGTGTGGATAAGTGTGTCTTCACAGCACTTTGGGAGGCCAGGTGTTAATTTGGATTCTTGGATACCTAGAATACTGGGCCCAGGTGGCTGTATGGACAGTCAGCCTCTAACTCAGGGGCAGAGGTCAGTCTGCTACTCTACCCACCCCAGGGTAACTGACGGCTAGTGTCGCCACCGCCACCACCACCTCATGCTGCACTGTGAGGGTCCTTGTTCAATGAGAGACAGAGCATAAACTAGAAAAATCAGTAAAATACACAGTACACTGAAAGGTAAGGCTAAAGAGGAAGGTAAACCCGAGAAGTAAGTAGGGAACTGGGGTGGGGACTCGATTCTAGTAGTCAGGGAAGGCCTCACTGAGAAGGTGGCATTTAAGCAAAGACTGGAGGAGATTGGGAAGCAAGTGTGCACTAAAAGGAAGTACAAAGGCTTTGAGGCAGCAGTGTGCTTGCTAGGGCTCAGCAGTGTCAGCAGTGTTTAGCAGGGACGCCAGTGTGGCTAGAGAGAGAGAGTGCGGTGGAGATATGAGGTCAGACAAGTGAGGGAGAGGCAGGGCCAAGGTGCCCACGCCTGGGCTGGAGGCTGACTTCAGCGCAAGGCCTGATCCCAGAAGCCCTGGGAAAAGGCCTGACTCAGCAGCCTCAGCTCCATCCTGGAGCTGGAGAAACCAGATTCTTACTCTGTTCCATCCTCAGCCACTGAGGAGGCAGCTGGGACCTGTTTGGGCCTGCAGGCAGCCACAGAGCTGGCAGGCAGGAGCTGCAAGATTCTTCTCTCTCAGGGGCCCCTGATTGAAGGGGGAGCCTGTCAGAAAGGAGCCCGGGTCTGATGCAGCAGAGCCTGGTGAGTATCGTAGTCCTTAGAAGTCACAGGTGTGAGTGACCCACCAGCCTGATCACCTCTAAGCCTCAGTTTCCTCAAGACAGCACCTCACTGGAAGTGCTGAAAGGGGGCCACTGTGAGAAAACGCTCAAAAGCACTCAGAGCTGTGCCTCATGTGCAGTTAGTGTTCAAAAAGTGGTAACTGCTACTGTTATTTTTGCTGTTTCTTGTAGGCCTTCTCCAAATTCGAGGCAGGCAGGGAGCTGCCCATCCCTCAGCTGCCTCAGCATTCCTGAGCCGGCTGCCCAGCAAGCTGCAAGGGCGTGGTGGGCCTGGGGAGGAATCTGAGAGGGGTGAGTAGAGTAGGTCAGGAATGCTCAGGCTGGGTTCTATCCATTCCTGGCCCCACTGCCTTCCCATCAGGGCCAGCTGATGGGGCAAGGTAGGGCAGGCCTCTGGAACTTGACAACTGAGGCATTCTGGGGAGAGGATGCCAAGTAATTTAAAGCAATTATTATCATTAGAGCTTCTGTGAATTACGTACTTACCATGTGCCACACAATATGCTAAAGTTTCACTCCAAATCAAAATCAAAGTTTTAAAATATCCCATAAAAGGCTCTAGAGGATCTGGCCCTGATGCCTCTGGGACCTCATCTCCTGCTGCTGTATTTTGCTCACTCACATCCTTGTTCTGGCTACTACATCAGCCTCCTGCTCTTCTTGAAATAGTCCAGGATGCCTCTCACCTCAGGGCCTTTGCATTTGCTGTGCCCTCTGCCTGGCGTGCCGTTCTCCCTTACCTTTTTCAGGCATCACTCAAATGTCAACTTCTCAGTTGACATTTCAGTCTATCCCTGAAGTACCCTCTTTAGACTTACAACCCTGCCTTCCACCCCCCACGCCTTATTTTTGTGCAGCATTTATTACTCCTCACCATACTGTTTTATCTAGGTGTCCTGTTTAATGTCTTTTTCCTCCTTCTTCGCACCACTTTGAGCATAAGCTCCATGAGGATAGGGATTTTTGTCTTTTCATCACTGCTACATCCCATTCCATAGAATAGTGGCTGCCACATAGCAAATATCCAATAAATATCTGTTGAATAAAGGTGCTTTACAACTCATCAAGGCAGATTTTGTAACTTCCTTTTTTGGAAATGTGGAAATTGAGGCCCAGGGTGGCGGAGTAAGTCACCCATGGCTATGCCCAGACACTAAGCAGCAGAGCCAAGATAATCCAGGACTGCCACATGTGGCATCTTATTCACCCTTGACAGCAGTCCCAGAGTGGTTGTGATTAATCCATTTCAGGAGCAAACTGAGGCTGGAGTGTGGCAGAGTTGAGAGATGGAACTGGTTCTGTCTGTCCTGACTAAACCATTGTTTCCTAGAATGTAGACTTCGTGCCTGTGGTGGGATGTGAGATGATTTTAGGTGATACATGAGCAAGGTATTAAAATATTAAATGATCCTGAATCACACACAGAGAAAGTTATTCTATTTTCAATTTTCTTTCAATCCTGCATGCACCAAGGAGAGAGTCCCCCATTCCTTTTTGCTTTTAGTAAATCTTTGACATCCTTAACCAGAGAAAGAAGACCTAGGATTTAACGACATTGTTCCATTGTCATTGTTTTTATACTTACTTTCTAGTATGACAAATGATGCTGGCTTTCCATTTATAATATTGTTAATATTTTTATTTAAAATGCATTTCTTTAACTTTTAAATAGTGAGTACATTTAAAGAAACAATATTAAGTAAAGATTAGTGAAGGTAGAACTCAGAGATGCCATAAACAGTGAAGGTGGTACTTCAAATAATGAAGCTGGAAAAGCTAAATCGATGCTCTGCATTTTATCTGATAGGTTCTTTCAAAGAGTATTCACTTTCTTTGAGGAGGGCCAGTTTATAACCAGAAAGTGAAAGAAGAATCAAATGCTAATCTGAGTATTAAAATTTACCTACAGTTTAGGGAAGAGTGAGAGGGAACTTTAGGAGCTAGAAAATAGAAAAATCTAAGCAGGCTTCCTGAAGGAAGAAACCCTTTGAGTTGGCCATGAAGGATGTATGGGAGTTGGCTAAGGGGCTGAAAGAAAGGAAGAGAGAAGGC